AAAACAGAAAAAGAAAGCTGGACCCCCTACGATGGCCAAGCATCCCCGCCAAATCCGAGACCCTCAAGCCTAAACCATAAATCCGACCCGGCACCCTCACCCGTGCTCTACTTGAAGGTTCATGGGTAGTTATGAGTGGAACTATAAGTCCCCTCATATGGGGTATAAGTATAGTTGCCTTACTGGTATAACTACCCCTGGACCTCCAAGTAACCTAGCCCTGAACTCTATGGATAATCTAAGCTGTCAAACCCAACGGAAACCCTGGCCTAAACATGAACATTCCTAACCCCAAATCCTGCAACCCATGTGGAGCCCTTGCAATCCTTCAAGAATCCTTTAAGGAATCGTAGGGCCGACGGCTCCTTTAAACTAAACCCCTAAACCCTAATCCCTAAGCCCCTAAACCCTAAAACCCTAAACCCCTAAACCCTAAACCCTAACCTCTAACCCCTAAACCCTAAACCCTAAACCCCAAGACGGAGCTCCCAACCAAAGGGGGGTGAATTGGATATCCTCGAGTTCGCCAACGACCAGCCAAATCTCGCCCTTCGGCGCTGGGTTTTAGGGCTTCAGGGTTTTAGGGTTTAGGGTTTAGGGTTTTAGGCTTTAGGGTTTTAGGGTTTTTGGGTTTTAGGCTTTAGGGTGTCGGGCCTTGGGGTTTAGGTTTTACCTATAGTCTCCATTGTAGTACTTTTTTTTGGTTAACCAAAATCTCTACTATAGGGTCCTACCCATAACACTGGCTAACCAAAAAAGGAACTACAATGGAGACTCTAGGTACATTATTATAGTACCCTTATAGATCCCCTTATACTAGCCCTTATAGACCCCTTTAAAGGAACCCTAAAAAAAGGCCCAGGGTTCTGTTGCACGCTGTCTTGGTTTTTGTGGGTCGGTCCATTGGTTTGTGTAGCTCTCTATCTTTACATTAACCTGTTCGTGTGTCTATCCATCTATGTACCTATCTGTCAGCTCTCTACCTATTGTGTGTGTGTCTCTGCTGCTACAACTTGTCAATTGTCTAAGAAGAGGGATTGCCAGCAGCACGTGGATGTATTTTGTTGCAGGCCGGGCCCAGGGCTCAACAGTAAAGCCCATTGGGTTCTTGAAGGTTTGAGGTTTGAGATCTCAGAAAGCATGAGAGGGTCGATATTTTTTTTTGTCGCAGCTTGTTCATCAAGTTTTGAGGTCTCTGCGTGACCAGTTTTGAGGGTGTCCGTAGATGATCGGTTTTATCAAATCAGAGTGGCAAGGTCCGGTTAGAAGACTGTAGGCAGTAGGGGTCTTGATAATTACCTATACTCCTTGGTGGGTCCGTATTATACTAATAGTAATGCAGTATAAGCCAGCCCGGCCCCAAACCCTATTCTTCTAATTTCGGCTTTCGGTCCTTAGATTAGGTACCTTGCATTGAAACTGGGGAAGTCTGCGCACTGAAACCGAGATGACCTTCCACACGCTCGGAGACTGCGCAGTGAGCTCGCCTAAACTGCAGCAGTGCACTCCGCCATACTATGCCTTGCAGCTTGGATCGTTTAGGGTTTAGGGGTTAAGGGTTTAAGGGTTTGGGGGTTTAGGGGTTGGGGGCTTAGGGTTTGGGTTTCATTTTTTCTGGAGTTGCGTGGGGTTTATATGCCGTGCAGATCGTGACGGCGTCAGGAAGGGCTTTTGCTTTAGGAGTTTAAGGGGTGTCTTAGGGTTTGTTGAAAGATGTCAGAGGGGTTGTTTTCATGAGCTCATGGGGTTGTATGTGCCCTGCGAATCGGGGTTGCATGTGGTTCCTGTCAGGATTCCTTCAAGCTAAGGAGACCTTCATAAAATTAAATGGGGTTTGGGGCTTGGGGTTTGGAATGAAACCAGGTCGCGTGGACTTCTACGTTTCTCGGCAGACCATCAAGGTTCCTTGTTAATGGAGGAACCTGATTAAGAAACCTTGGGCCTTTATTAGGGCTCCTTATATGAATCCCACTATTTTGGATTTACAGGACAAGCGTTTCTTAATCAGATTCCTTTTGGTGAAACAAGTGCCAGGTAGGATCACTACAGGGTTTCTACTCCGTTTGTGACGAGGTCTTTTTGGGGACAGTAGTAGATGCAGCTGCATGTGACAGCACCTTAGTGACAAGAGTAACTTGTACTGTTCCATGAATCCTAAACCGGGTCACATTACCCAGAGGGTCCATATACACTACTATTATGGAATTAGGCCCTAAAAGACCATGCCCATTATGGTTTTGGGGACCTCATTCCATAATCGTAGTGTATATGGACCCTCTGGGTTAACCTTGGATCAAGTATTGAGCGAGTGAGCATCGGAGCATATCGGGAGTTTCCGAAAATAGGGGACCCTAGTATAGTACCTTAAATAGTAGGATCCTTATTATAAGGACCCCAAAATATGCACCCCTTGTTTTCGGAAACTCCCATATCGGGAGTGCTCATGCGCAAGCTTTGCGACAAACTCAGAGCCATGATTGGGAGCTGGAGCACATGCCCGCGTCAGGCCCCTGCATACTATAGGGGCTTAAGTAATTGTCAATACTAGTTAGTTTGGGGGCTCCTTATTACCTGGACCACAAAAGTAATTATGTAAAATAATGGCCTTTTATAGGCCTTGGGCCATTATTTTACCTACTTTGGGGGGCTCCTTATTATGAATATAGCATGCTTGAAGTGTCATTCAGCGGGAAAACACCCGACTAAGCAGAGCTTCAGAGCAGAAAACGTTTAAGCACGTTCCCAAGGAGCGTACTTGGCAGGAACTGCATTTCCGGTATGCACTGCTGTCCTGCATTCTACGGCCTACGCCATTTCTGGATGTCAGCATCGACAGGCCAGGTTCAAGGTCGGGTCGACAGATATCCACCACTTCATCATACTCCGTCCCCTAGGGCTCCAAGTATGCAAATAGTGGCTACTTTGGGGTCTAAAGTCTACAAATAGTGCCTGCTTTGGGCTATTTGGGGGTCGCATCATGCTCTCCCCTCACGATCCAGACAAAGGCTATGTGATTGCGGCAGTGGGATTTGGCTATGGCATTACGCGATCCTTGCTCTCTGCAGTAGTCACAACAAACGAGCAAGCAACTCTGATAGACGAGGGTACTCAAGGTAGAATACTACGGTGAGGTACCAAAGCCAATGCAATGTACAGTCGCTGGGGCCGACAGTTGGAGCATCTAGCATTAGATACTGTAGAGTCCCCATAACACAGATGCCTGAAAAGGTCCCGAGATTGTTCCTTAGGGTTCCTTGCTACTTTGTACTAGAATTAGAATGAGAACATACCCGCGCAAATCCTGTGTAGGCATCCGTAGCAGCATCAGTGGCCCAGCAGTTGGCATTTGGCCGTCAAGCAGGAGCTTCAATTAAGAACTTCGAACGACACGCCCACCAGAATATAGGTTCCCTGATACATACCCTTTTAGCACTAACTACAGAGTCCCCATTCTAGAAGCCTCTCCGGGAAGCCTTTACAAGGCACCGTCTTTTTCAGGGCCAAGGGTTGAGAAACCCTAAACCCTAAACTACCCCTAAACCCCTAAACCTTGAGATAGCTCCCCTTTGCTTCGCCATGCGCGGCCGAAGAGGAGGTCGAAGCCGCAGCCGCGACAGACTCAGCGACTTGGGCCGCGACAAAGAGTACTTCTCTTACCCAGATTAGGGTTTAGGGTTTGGGGCTTAGGGTTTACGGTTTAGGGTTTAAGGTTTAGGGTTTAGGGTTTGCCAAATGCTGAACCTTCCCTTAGCCCGAAAGCCTAGAACCTATAGTTGAACCCCAAGCCCTTTAACCCCAAGCCCGAAATCCTCAACCCTGAAGCTCTAAACGAAACCCTTACAGGAACCCTTAAACCTTAAACCTGAAGCTCTAAAGTCCCTAAAAGGAACCTTGATAGAACTCCTTAAATAAGGCGCCCATATTGACCCCTTTAAGAAGTACTCAGTACCCTTTGAGCCCTAAACCCTCAACCCCGACACCCCCAAACCCAGACGAATCCGTGCGAACTCGCCTCAATGCCAATTGACCCCTACATGTAGAATGTAGAACCCTCAGGGATCCATTTAAAGGAACCCCAAACTGAATCTTAAGCTCTCAACCCTAATTAGCCCCAAATACCTCAAAACCCAGATGAATCCGCGCGGACTCGCCTCCTTAAGGAACCCTTGCAGGAGCCCTGATGATCCCTTTAAGGAATTACTAATCCCCAATTTCAGCCCAGATGAATCCGCGCGGACTCGCTGGATCTCGAAGATGCTGGCGTCCTTCGGCCGCTACGCGTCCAAGCGACCCAGAGGACTTCCCGTGTGCGAGCGAGGCGGCTTGGGGAGTTTTTTGGGCCTTACTTGGAGGACCAGGGGACTCAGTAAGTAAGGTTAGAAGTACCTTAATTGGGGTTATAGGTAGTTATAAGTTACCCAAATCTAACCCCAGTTACTAAGTCCCATGATCCTTCATGTATTTGGCATTTAAAGGGATCTATAAGGGTTCTAGAAGGGATCTACGGCGGCCTAGGAATTTGCTGGTTTAGGGCTTGGGGATTTGGGGTTAAGGGGCTTAGGGGTTTTGTGCTTTCGGGATCAGGTTCAAGGGGTTTCGGGTTCAGGCTTTGCGGGTTTAGGGTTCTAGCACCTAGAGTAGGCCCTTATTCCCTTTTTTTTGGGTTCAGGTTCCCTTATAGGCCCCTTTAAACCAAAAAGGGCACCCTTTTTATTCCTAGGTTACTCTTAGGTCTGGGGTTTAGGTTGCTTATAGGGTTCAGATTTGTTAGGATGTCAGGAACGCTTCGGGTGTCTACAAGGGTTTCTGTGTGGTTTCTGTACGGGCTAAAGCTACTACGCCGGATAGCTGAAATCACTTGAAGTGTAAACCCTATCTGGTTTGTCGGTGTTAGGATGCTCACATGTATAGGGGTCATAAATGTATCGGAATCCCGAACCAACTATCTTAAGGATGCCTTTCCGTTTCCAATTAAAGGCTCTTTCTCGCTGACGGACTTGATGGAGACATGGGGTCATCGCGAAGGAGTATCGCGGCGAGAAATTCTCCATGCGCTGAGGGTCCACATGTTCCACGAAGACCAGGTGCAGTTGCGATTCGAGCTCCAGCAGACGCGCTCCTTTTATGCATGAGACAGATAGATGGTTACATAGGTAGATAGATGGATGGATGTTTGGATAGATAGAGAGATACATAGAGACACGGGTAGGTTGTCTTCCATATTTATTCAATCAGTTATGCAGTTATGCATGGAATTGTTATTGTCTTTGCTTATCTGTATCTATCTATAGGTATTTTATGTTACTATGTAGGATATTTCTGAAGTATGTGTGCCTTTTAACAACCCCTTGCCTTAGCAGGTGGGGACACGATCATCCGCGTCATGCCGAAGAGGGCACATCACTCCGAGCCTGCTAGGGGAGAGAGGTCGGACTCGAACAGGATGAGATCGGAGTGATCTGAAGCCTAACAACCACAATAAGATTAGGAAACCTTGGGCCTTTATTCAGGTTCCTTATATGAGTCCTATCACTTTGGGGTTATAGGCCCAGGGTTTTTTAATCAGGTTCCTACATCAGAACCATAGATATTCAAAAGCGCTGCTGCCAGAAACTACAGAGCCAGAACAATATCTTGAAAAGCCATCAGAATCTTAGAGCCCTTGCTAGACGTGCCGTAATCGGGGTTTAGGCATTGGGTCTAGCGTAAATATCAGTTACTGATTTAACTGAGTAAAGATACCTCGTTCAGAGTTCGACTTACTGAACCCTTACAGCTACCTTAGGGGTACTTAGAAATATATTTTTACTTTTGGTTATTTTAATCCCTAAGAAACAGCTGAAATTATAATTTTTGCTAGGGTTCTAAGTTCAGTATAGCAAAGGGCTCCTACTTGAAGGTTCATGGGCACTTATAAGTGGAGTTATAAGCCCCTGATTTGGGTTATAATTACAGTTGCCTTACTTCTAACCCCACTTATAACACCCCTGAACCTCCAAGTAGGGTAGGATTCAGGACGAAGGTAGCTGGTATAATCCCCGATACGGGTCCCAATAGAAGGGATGCTTCATCCTACCTGCCTTCATCCCACCTTTTCAGGCCTAAGTGAACTGACAAAACCTTCACAACATTCTCAAAGTAAGCCATATAGAGACGATAAGCCCATCCCGTTCTAAATCTCTCTGTTAGAGCCCATCATTTGAGTGATTTTCAGGCCTCATGTACCTGCAAGACCCCAAAAGCCTTCATATGACAGACCTGTTTTTGAAAAAGAAAACAAACAATCGAATAACCTAAACCTTAAAGCCCGAATCCCGAGAGCCCTCAATCCTAAAATCCTGAACCCTAAACCCCAAACTAAACCCAAATCCTTAAACCCCGAAGCCCTATAGATCCCTTATAGAACCCTTGCTTATGGATCCGTTTCGACCCTAAAGCCCTAAACCCTCTTGATCCCTTACAGAACCCTTGCTTATGGATCCGTTTCGACCCTAAAGCTTACACCCTGGGAGGTCTGAGAGATCGGCGAGATCGGACCAATTTTCCAGGAGGTCTCCCCCTCGAAAGACGGAGTCGGAAGAGAGGATGTCAACTCCAGGTGGGGCATGTAGGGCTTTGTAGCTTTAGGGTTTAAGGTTTAGCGTTTAGGGTGTAAGGCTCATGGTTTAGGGTTTAAGGTTTAGGGTTCAGCGTTTAGGATTTAAGGGAGGTGTAGAACTTTGTAGTTTTTGGATGTCAGGCTTAGCTTATTCAGGGATCCTGGGAGCACGGATGCTGTCACTTGGGGTTTAGATTTGGGCCTGCATTTGCTCAATCTCAGTTCGGTTTTCGAATCATGCCGCTGGACTGTTGTTTAGGTTTTAGGGTTGTCCTTAAGCTTTCTTGGGGTGGAAACATCGTGCCTAAATATTTCCGTTAGCTGAGCCACTCACGCACCGAGCCCTTGACTCTGAGCCCCCTTAAGCCCAATGCCCAAAAGCCAAGCACCGAGGCGAGCCCTTGGAGCCCCATGTAACACAAAGCGAAGCCATAACCTAAGGGACCAAGAACACCAATGTCACTTATGCTCGTATCTTCCCCATTATATCTAGGATGCCCAGTAGTACCCTTATTCCCTTTTTGTAGTCCTAGGTTCCTTATATCCTAGATATTCCCTTTCAGGTACTGTTCGAGAGCCAAGCACCTTCAATACTAGGCACATGAACCCCGAATCCCTAAACTCAAGCCCTGACCCCATAACAGCTATATGGGAGTTTCCGAAAATAGGGGACCCTAATATAGTACCCTACGTAGTAGGATCCTTATTATAAGGACCCCAAATAAAATACCCCTAATTTATGGAAGCTCCTATATAATTCCTTTGCTCGAGATGCTTGGAACAGTTGCCCTGAACTCTGGACTCTGCACCTTCCAACCCCGCACTGAAGCCTATTCCGCCCTCGAAACCCCTAACCCGCCCCTACCCCCCGAAAAAGCTAACACGAAGTCCTGTTATCCTCAGCCTGACCTGAACCCGTCTTCCCTCCACACACCCGGTGACAAAGGCAAATACAGTTCCCTATTCCCTCAAACCTAGTCCCTTAAGCCCTAAAGCCCCTAAACCCTTGTATAAGTCCGAAAGCCGCTAAGCCCTAAACCCTTATATACCTACAGATCCCAAAAGTTTGTAAAGTAATGGTCCAAACCCTTTCAAAGGCTAGTATTCTACATACTTTGGGGGTCCAGGTAAGCCCTAAACCCTTAAGCCCCAAAGCCCAGAAGCCCCTAAACCCTTAAGCCCTAACTCCCCAAACCCTAAACCCTTAAGCCCTAAAGCCCCTGAACCCTAAACCCTAAAGCCCAAAAGCCCAGAAGCTTTCAACTTCCAGGTGCACCGGGCAGCTCCACCGAGACGTTCTACGCCCCAAGGCCCGTTGCTAAAAAGGCGCCGTTGCCTCCTCCCTCGTCCTTCAACGAGGCACCCGGGCACTGGTAGTTTTTTTACGTACTCGTTGCTATTGTTATTATTGTCATTATAGTCTTATGAGATATGCCTCTTGCAATATTATTTCTATTATTACTGTTGTTATTAGCAAGTTTACTGGTATTAATAGATGCGGTGGGTTTAGGGTTTACACCGCTTAGGGGTTTAGTTTGTGTTTTTTTAGAGTTTAGGGTTAAGGAGTTTCCCATTTGTAGCCGTTTTGTTTGTGTGTGCTGGAAATGTGTGTGGAATGGGGTACTGGGGGTGCCAGGAGGGTTAAGGATTAGGATGTCTTATAGGATCCTTAAGGGAGGGTGGTTCAAGGGGGGAGGGTATAAGGAATCCTTAGGGGACTGTAAGGGAACCTTAGGGAGTACTAGGGAGAATTAGGGACCACTAGGCTATATACCCCCCTTGGACCCCTCTCCCTTAAGGATACTACAAGATTAGGATGTCGGGGGTACGGTTGCGGCCTGTTTCGGGGCCGTCTCGGGGGCTCTTCTGAAAGGTGTTGAGGAAAGGCTTCTACCAAGAAGTTAAGGGGGAACCGCAGTATTTGGTATGAGGTTTGGGGGTTGTGTTTGTGGGTTTGGGGTGCTTGGTATAAGGAGCGGCGTATTGCTTCTCAAGCCTATGCGGTTGTACTCTTTGGTTGATGGAAACCCTCTAAACTGTTGGATCTGCATCATACTTGAAGAGTATTCTGTATTGGGATTCTGGGGTTGGGTTGAGGCGACTGGGCTGAGAGTCTAGTCTAGACTTCCGGGCCACGTTTGTGAGGTCCACGATTTAGGGTGAGTTTAAGGGTTTTAGGTTACAGCGATCGTGCATGGTATAGGTAGGTTAGGTGGTCGTGCGTTGCTTTTGGGATATACCTTTTATAGGGCATTCAGAATGCCAAGAAGCATCTACAGAACCTCGCAGGAGAAGCCTGAGGTGGCGAAGCCTATGCCCGTGACGAGGATATCCTTGAAAGTAAGGTTTTGCCGGTTGGGCGTTTTTTTGTTTAGTTTAGGGTGTAGGCGTTTGGGCAGTCGGTGGTTTTCAAGGCTACGGCATAGCCGGATCCTGTTTACAAATAGAGACGAGCCAGCTCAAGGACCGCAATCCTCATAAATGAAAGCCAAGTAGAAGCTTGTAAGAGGGATGAAGACTAAAACGTGTTCAATATGTGTTAGTACGCTATAGCCCGAAGACGCTCTTAGCTTCTTTGCTTCCAGACACTTCAACCCTAAATCCAGGACCCCACCCTAAACTCACAGACACTAATCCCAACGGTTTAAAACGCAAATGTACGTAACTTCGCAAGCCTGAAACCTACTAGACCTTTTCCAGCGAACCCAAAAAAAGAATCTGCAGTCTCCGGTTCCCCACGAACGTACCGTATATGAGTCCGAGACCAAGGCATGCTGTTGCGATAAACCCTCAAACCAAATCCTAAACCTAAATCCTCAACCTGCAGCTCAACCTGAGGCCTAGTCCTTAGCCCGATACCCTAAACCTAAACCCTAAACCCTAAACCTATACCCTAAACCTAAATCCTAAACCCTAAACCTTAAACCTATACCCTAGACCTAAAGCCTAGACCTAACCCGTTACCTCCTCAACAGCCCAGGTGAAGGCCGAACCAAGCCCTGACTACGGCGAGGAGCCGTCACCACCCGACCCGCCTCCTGGGGAGCACTGGGAAGCTTGGGAGAGAAAGAGGGTTTGGGATAGGAGTTCTTTTAAAGGGAACTCCAGAAAGTTGGAATATGGATTAATGGTAGGATCCCTATAATCTACCTTAAAGGGGTTACGATAATGATATTCCAACTTTCTGGCTTCTACTTTAAGGGATCTTTCAAGGGTTCTGTAAGGACCCTTTAAAGGGCCTCGCTACCGCTGCCAGTCCTTCCCTTACATACCCTAGACTTTAAGGTTTGGACATCCTTGGAATGTGGTGTGTAGGGTTGAAGATGTTGGGTTAAGGGCGCAGGTTGCTGGTCAAGTCCGTCCAACATGCCCCCAGAAGCTGGATGTGTACCTTACACTGCTATAACCTACTTTTTGCAGGTTCTTATTTTCGGGAGTAGGGTATACTTGAATGCAACCCCCGATGTTGCCAAGTTTTCTGCGGCCTTCAAGTAAGGAAGAGTACCAGGATGCGGACAACACGTGGTTCTACTACTCTGGTCCCAAAGGCCAGTGGTGTTCCCAAGGGCTCGGACATGAAGTACTTCCATATGAGGCGGTGAACTTGGAGTGAGGGCTTCGGTTGCCTGAGCAGTTTTAAAAGCTCGCGGAGAATCGGCGATCTCGGCCCGGTTGGAATCCCAAAGGGTCCAAAGTACTACATCGTAGAATGTAACGTAGGGTTTCTATCTTAGGAATTACTATCACGATTTGCGGAAGTATCCCCCATAACAGTTTCTAGGATCCTTTAAAAATGTCCGCGTTGGCCTTATTGCTCTATATTGGAGCCTCTCCACAGCTAAGCGTTAGCCACCAGGAATATCTAAATGGGCAGTGGTCTAAATACCATGTCGCGAAGTTTATGCACAAGGACCTATTTGCATAGTGGTTCGTTTTTGTATTTGGAAATGGTGGCGTCACGCAACTTGGGTTGTGTGTTCTGCTTCCTGGCGCTAGTATTGCGCTAGACTGGCGGTAGTAACGCACTTCAGGATATGTACTGTCATGAATATCCCCAGGTCTCCAGGTACCTAAATAGTAGGTTACTAACCATATATCATGTACCCCAACTGGAGCCCAAGGGTATGAAACTGCGTTGTAAAACAAACTATGGGTCTCCCGTTTTCACGATGAACTTGAGGTAGCACGCCTGAAGCAGCAACCCACTTTCCAAGTAGGGGGGTGTAACCCTAAATCCTAAAACGTAACCTAAACCCTAAACCCTGTATGCACCCTCAAAAGACCTAAACCCTATACCCAGTGTGCACCGTTTTATCCGCACGGACGCCGCGTGACTATGCTGTATGCAACCCCGCAGAGTTGGCATCTTGATTCCCAGAGGGTCCATATACACTAAAATTAGGGCCCCCGGAACCATAAGAGGCATGGTCGTTTGGTAGCTGACTCCATAATAGGAGCTTATGTCTGATTCCATTTGCTGCTACGACAAGCCACAATGTTATCATCTTCATCATCAGAATTTGTGTCGTCATCCGAAGTTGAAGCCAGACTTTAACGAGCCTTCCACATTCCGTTAAACCTGGCCTGCGCTAGCAACATTTCATATTTATGACATTCAGAACTTGAAACATGGCACTCTCCAACGGTATCGTTTATCTTTTCCAATCGAATCACACAACCATTACGGCATTTATATAGGTCCAATTCCGGGATCAGACGTGCCTGGGGGTCGGGATGCAGTAGGCTTCACCGGCTAAAGAGGCCCGCCGGTGAAGAGTTTCCACAGATTGCTTTCAGTAGATTGTTTCACAAACTTAGTGTTTTTAGCTTGCCGCTCTTCAACGTGAGTGCTTGAAATGGAAAAAGGGCCGAGCTGCTGCCTGCATGTAGGGATTGCTCTGGCTTCAAACTATCGGTGTAGAAGCGAGGAAGGATGTCCGAACTATCAGTGATTTCATGTCGTTCCAAGGCATTGGCGGATCAGAACCCTGCTCAAATTATCAAAGTACCCCTGCTGAGCCCTGACTGAGACACTCGACCTACATCCAGATAACCCTAAACCCAAGGTATGACAGCATATGGATGTCTTGCGACACCGACTATTCTCACCAGAAGAACGGCTGCAAGCCGCCGCAGAAGCGCCGGAGCCCTAAGCGAAGAATATGGTATTTCTTGCTTAGTAGCTGAGTGGATACACTTTACACTTTTTGGGATAATATCACCCACCATAAAACTGAAAGTGTACACCTTTTTGGTGCTTATGAACTCAGCAACTAAGGTTAACGTTGAGATGTAAGATGACCAGAACTAATTTTTGGGACATATTCCATGTACAGCCCCGGGTGCGGACCAGCGACTCGATTCCTTGAAATCATAAGGACGCTTAGGGCGGTAAGGGGGCCTCGGCCACCACGGCAGCCCAGTCCAGAGAGCCCAATACCCCTTAATTAAGGAATATGGCTTAAATTATGTCGGGCTTCAAATTATGATTTAAGCTATATTCCTTAATTAAGGGGTATTGGGCTCTCTGGCAATCAGCGAAGAACTTCAGGAGCCTTTGTCTCTCTGTGATCTCCAATGTCAACCAGCGGGGGCATCTCACTCGCTGACGCCGTGCTGAATACCATGGGGGTCCTTTAGTGCTGAGGCACTTCCATTCGGGAAGTTCACATCAACCGTTACTATCATAAATTTTACATTATAATATTAAATTAGTATACACTACTAAAACATAATATAATATAGTAGATGATATAACATAAGTGAGCCAGCTGCTTCGTATTTTCGTGATTGGAGGGCCAAGGGCTACGCTGCGCGTGCTTGCTCCACTCGGCCAAAGAAACCGGCACCGGCTGGCCGTGGTTTCTGTGCTCCTTTCGTTCCTCAGAAGGTTTAGGGCTTTCGGGTTTAGGCTTTAGGCTTTAGGGTTTATAGGGTCTAGGGCAATGATCATAGGAGGCCAAAAGGGGTTTTAGCCGACGGGGGTTTAGTAGGGATTAGGGTTCCCATAACAGGGTTCATAATGAGGAAACCCTACCACAAGAGTCTTAAACCCTCGCTTCGGCCTCCCATCGTGCCAAGGGTGACTTGTCTCGTCTTGCTGCTGGCCTGATTGCATGGCCCAATGACACTCACCATCATATGGAGTTTCCGAAAATTAGAGGTACCATATTTGGGGGTCCTTATAAGGATCCTACCATTTAGGGTACTATATTTGGATCCCCTATTGTCGGAAGCTCCCATATGTTGGGCTGGTGGCGTTTATAGGTTCAGGTCGCGTCTCCGATTTTTTGTTGGTACCCGAAACCCTACTATTTGGGCAGTTG